CTGTGGAATTCTGTGAGTTGAAGTCCACATGCCTTAAAATTGTCAAGGTTGAGAAACACTGCACTAGACCACTGCTACACAACACTAAAAGATGCTTATCAGTCTTTACCACGAGCAGCTGTGGGTCACTCTGATCATTGTATGATTCACCTTGTACCTGTTTATAGACAAAGGCTTAAAACCACAAAACCAACAATTAAATCAGTGAAGTCTTGGACTGAGGAGACGAAGCTAAAACTACAGGCTTGCTTTGACTACACTGATTGAAAAGTTTTCAAAGATACCTCTGCAGACTTAGATGAACTCACAGATACTGTAACATCATATGTTAGCTTTTGTGAAAACCTATGCATACCAACCAGGAACTTGCAAATATACAGTAACAATAAGCCTTGGTTCACAGCTAAACTCAAACAATTACATCGTGCCAAAGAGGAAGCCTACAGGAAAAAAAGATAGAATGATGTACAATCAGGTCAGAAATGCAGGGCTTTTTTTCACATAGAACGCCCGGAACAGAGTTCTGGCACCTTTTTTGGATGGAACCTTGTAGGGTAGGCAAGGCGGGTTGTATGACGTGTGAGTTCCGGCACCTTTTTTTTTTTTTTAGAAAAAAAGCACTGCAGAAATGTATTAACAAGGGAGATTAAAGCAGCAAAAAGAAGCTACTGTGAAAAGCTAAGGAGTTAGTTCTCAGCAAATGATCCAGCAAACATGTGGAAAACTCTTAAAAATATCACCGGCTATAGCAAAACCTCTCTCCATGCTGAAGGAAATCGACAACTGGCAGACGACCTGAATGTGTTTTACTGTAGGTTCGAGAGGAAACCACTGTCACATATCTCCACCATCCCCATTTCAGATACACCAACAACAGCCATACCTCCTACAACTGACCCCATCCCTTTGGGTCCCCCACCTCTGGTGATCACAGAAAATGATGAATAAGGTCTATTTCACAAACAAAAGCCTGGAAAAGCACCAGGCCCAGACAAGATAACTCCTTCTTGCTTGAAAACTTGTGCTGATCAATTGGTTACCATCTTCACCCGAATCTGTAATAAATCACTAGAGATGTGCTATGTTCCTTCTAGCTTAAAATGCTCTACTATTATCCCAGTGCCAAAGAAACCATCTTATCAAAGAACTGAATGACTACAGACTGGTTGCTCTGATATCCATATTTATGAAAACCTTTGAAAGGTGAGTGCTGGCCCACTTGAAAACCATCACAGATCCGCTATTAGACCCCTTGCAATTTGCCTACTGAGCAAATAGATCAGCAGATGATGCTAGTTATATATATATATATATATATATATATATATATATATATATATATATATGTAGGTCTTTGGTTGTTCGGGTTTTCTCCCGCGTAAAATTGGAAGTGTCTTGGCGACGTTTCGACGAAGTCCCATTCGTCATCTTCAGGCTGGTGTTTTCAGCTTCGTGCTTCAAGCAGCAATGTGTGGTCTTAGCTGTTTCTTCCTTTTAACTGCCAGTGGGGGTATGAACTGATTGGGTGGGAGCTTGGCTGTGTTCTGATTGGGTGGAGGTGTGTTCTGATTGGTTAGGGGCTTGGCTGTGCTCTGATTGGCTGGGGGGTTGGCTGTGCTCTGATTGGCTGTGCTCTGATTGGCTGGGGGAGTGTTCTGTTTGGTTGTGCTCAGGTTAGTCTGAGTTGCAGAGGGGCAAAAAGCTGCCTATTTTAAAGCAACTCAGACTAACCTGAGAGAACACTCCCCCAGCCAATCAGAGCACAGCCACCCCCTCAGCCAATCAGAGCACAGCCAACCCCCCAGCCAATCAGAGCACAGCCAAGCCCCTAACCAATCAGAACACACCTCCACCCAATCAGAACACAGCCAAGCTCCCACCCAATCAGTTCATACCCCCACTGGCAGTTAAAAGGAAGAAACAGCTAAGACCACACATTGCTGCTTGAAGCACGAAGCTGAAAGACACCAGCCTGAAGATGACGAATGGGACTTCGTCGAAACGTCGCCAAGACACTTCCAATTTTACGCGGGAGAAAACCCGAACAACCAAAGACCTACATACAAACACCCGCGAAAACCTCAGAAAAATATATATATATATATATATATATATATATATATATATATATATATATAATTTTTTTAACATGGTCACCTTAATATTTGGTAAACAGTGTGTTGTCTGGGTTTATATTTAAAAAACATTCGCTAACAATTGGTTTCTATGATGTATAATCCACATAATAGCTTTACTTGATTTCCTCTTCTTCCCATAACGTTCTCTTTTATCAACCTTAAGTTAATACAATTCTTATTGTTTTGATAGATAACAATTGAGTATACAATTTTTTCTAATATTTCCACAAATAATAATGACATCAATATAATAATTCTTTTCTATCTAGTCATTCTGGTTGCCTCATTATAGATCCCGTTTACACTTCTTGTTTACATTTGTTTTTCCTATAATGTTCAAGATATTCTTACTGGTTAAGATTTTCTCAAAGTTACTTACATTTAAATATTTGATTCTATTTTTTCTCATATAAACCATCCCAAAACTTTTACCTTACTTAAGGAATAAATAAGATTAAAAAAAGAAAAAAGAAGAACAAGAGTAAAGAGGGGTAAAAAGATAGTATACTACTGAAAGTCCATGTTTCTCCTAAGCTAATACATATTTATTTTCAACAAATTTTCATTCTTTTTTACCATAATTAAGAATATATTTAATCTTTAAATATTCCATTTAATAAATCTAGTCATCTTGTCTTTTAATTCTTATTCAAAACATTTTTTTCAATCCATTGTAATTTTCTTAAAATCAATCACATTTAAATATCTAAAATATGTCCTTAAATATAAGCCATTCTAACTCTTTTATATTACTCATATCAAAAAAATAAGAGAGGAAAAGAGAAAAAGAGAGAATATTATGTTATTTGAGGGACTTCTCCCTCTTAAAGTAAAATTCATATCCAAAATCTTTCTATTACTTTAACCATATTCAAACAGGTGTTTCTTTTTTAAATATTCTCTCTGATAAGTCCCATCATCTATTTTCTCAATTTTCATTTTGGCCTTTTTCTTTTGCCCAATATCTTTAATCAATATATTCTGCTGAATCAAAGAGTCTTTCCATATTCTTGTAGGTGTTACTATAGGTATAAAAAATAAGTCAAGTACATATTTTTGTAAGAGGCATTTGCTCTTTCATATTTGTTGAAAATCTTTTTCTTTCTTTTTCTCTGTATCTTTTACCATTTTTTGTCTCTCCAGTTCTAGTGGTGTTCCTGATGTCTCTGCAATCCTTCCTTCCTTGCCACCTCTTTGGGGCAGCTTCTGGCTCATTTAGGGTTCCCTAACAGGAAGAAATTCAGCCAAAGGGCACGGAACCCTGAAATCCCTTGGCTGCTGCGCTACTGCACAAGACCGGAAGTCCTGCAGATGATGCTGTTAATATGCCTCTGCACTACATTTACAACATCTTGAATCTCCAAGGACCTATGCAAGGGTCCTTTTTGTAGATTTCAGTTCGGCATTCAATATCATCATTCCAGATATTCTTCTCAGTAAACTAAATCAGCTAGCCATGCCTGACCACACCTATAAGTGGATCATAAGCTTTCTAACAGACAGGAAGCAGCAAGTGAAGCTAGGCAAAAATCACATCAGATACCTGTACAATTAGCACAGCCCCCCTCCAAGGGCTGTGTGCTCTCCACTTCTCTCTATATACCAGCAGCACCTCAAAAGATCCCTCTCTTAAAGTACTGAAGTTTGCAGATGATACAACAGTGACTTCATTCGAGACAACAACAAATCAGCATACAGATGGGAGGTTGAACAACTAGCCTTGTGGTGTGGCCAGAACAATCTTGAACTGAACACACTCAAAATTATAGAAATGACAGAAGACTTTAGGAGAAACCCTACTATTCTACAACCTTTTACAATACTAGACAACACAGTATCAACAATAGAAACCTTCAAGTTTCTGGATTCTATAATATCTTAAGATTTAAAATGGACAACTAACATCAAAAATGTAATCAAAAAAGCACAACAAAGAATGTTCTTTCTGCACCAATTCAGAAAGCTCACACTGCCCAAGGAGCTGCTGATACAGTTCTACAAAGGAATTATTGAGTCTGTTATTTGCACTTCTATAACTGTCTGGTTTAGAACTGCAACCAAACAAGATAGATGCAGACTTGAATAGATAGTTAGATCTGCAGAAAAAAACAATTGCTACCAGCCTGCCTTCCATTGATGACCTGTATACTGCACGAGCAAGAAAAGGGCTGTGAAAATATCTATAGACCCCACATCTTGGTCATAAACTATTTCAACTTTTTCCCTCAAGATGATGCTTTAGGGCATTGCACACCAGAACGACTAGACCAGGGGGTAGGCAACCTTGGCTCTTTTATGATTCGTGGACTTCAACTCCCAGAATTCCTGAGCCATAAAAGAGCCAAGGTTGCCTACCCCTGGACTAGACATAAGGACAGGTTTTTTTCCCCATGCTGTCACTCTGCTTAATTCCTACAACACTGTCAGAATACTAGTAAAGCTGTATTAGTATGATACTCCTCATCTTTCCTATTACCTATCCTTATCTTCTTATGACTATAACTTTGCTGCTTGTATCTTATAATTTATATTGGGTTTTGTTGTACCCTAGTATGATTTATATTGTTTGCTTAGGTAGTACTCTATGACTATCACTATGTGTTGCATCTTATAATTTATGATGAAGTGTTGTATTTCACGATTTATGATGAATGTATTTCATGTTCATCATATGATCATGATTATCACTATTACTTGTATGTACACTGAGAGCTTATGCACTGGAAACAAATTCCTTGTGTGTCCACATTTGGCCAATAAAAAATTCTATCTATCTATCTACAAAGATTCTCAGTTTGAAATTCATTCTTAATTTTTTTCTTTCATTTTTTGAATCAGCAGAAATTAGCCATGACTAGTCAATATTTATACCAAGTTATACCAAGTTGGAGAATTGCTGGTTTACAAGTTTTCTTTCCCAATTTCTTCTACTCATTCATCGCTGACTCTGGAGGTGCCAGAGGCATCTACGTCCTTCCTTACAGTTGTAAGTAACTGAAAGATATTATACTCTTCCTTCCATTTCTGCTTCTTTGTTGGCTGGAGCTAATAAGTGGAAAAGAAAATTATAATTCAACACTGAAAGGATAAATCTGTGCTTGAATTTTAACAATGAATTGCTGTTACTTTTCCTACATTTCAAATGTTTCTTTTTCAAAAGAAGATAAAAAGTAGATTTTCAATTTGATAAAATATCTTTTTAATTTTCAGAAACTATGTTATTATTTTGCAAATTTAACTGTATTTGATATCAGCATTAGAAATGTCCTGAAATTGATAATGGCATAATGCTTTGCTTTAGGTTATTTGGTTGGGTTTTTTTTTTGAGTTTACAAAAAATATTACAGACAAAAAATCATGGTTTATTCATTAACCTGCAATTAGAATAACTCATCTAATATGTTAAATCATGGTTTACAAGTTACAATTAGTGTAACTAACACTTAAGCTCAGACCAAATACTTACATTATTATCGTTTAATGTGAACCAGGCCAGTCTTTTTTCATGAGTCTGTCATATACCACAATTTCTCTGATTTGACAATGACAGTAGAGTTAACAACAAAGAAAAGTAAAGAAGCACAAATTATGAGACACTGTTAGTAAATTAAAATTACATTTACTAAACCAATGAAAAGTAAAAAAACAATCACTGGAACACCATCCTGAGTTAAATGATATAATAGTATTTGTCTGAAAAAATTGTTTGAAATTCAATAAATATTCTTTAAAATGTTGCAGTGAGATCTATAACAGATCAATATTTCTGTTGCCAGCATGCATAGCATCAAAGTGACAATGGATGCCTGATGTATAAAATCAGAAAACAATGTAAAGCTTGCAGAAAAAAATTGAAATTGTACATAACATTTATGTAGTAAGATACAACAATCTTTAGAATTCCAAAAGTGCACCATATTGTCAATTAGTCATTCTATTTCATGTATACTCATAGGCATCCAATCAATTCTATAACGTTTTACTGAAGGAATATAATAATCATGTACCAACTGCCTTGCAACAACAAATCATTGCATTAAACTTGATGTATGAAATTATAGATCATTTTTAAAGGACACTCTAAAAGAGCAACAATAAAAGTGCAATCAATTTTCATTCCATGATTGTGATTGTGATTTTAATATTCCTTGATTCTTTATATCCGCCTTCCCTAAAGGTGAATCTTGTGCAGAGATGTGCACATTTGTTTTAATGTTTAATGAAATAAACGAGTATATTTGCTGAATAGAATAGAATAGAATAGAATAGAATAGAATAGATCAGATCTCGAAGGGACCTTGGAGGTCTTCTAGTCCAGCCCTCCTCTCAAGCAGGAGAACTTATACCATCTCAGACTGTCCAGTCTCTTCTTTAAAACCTCCAGTGATGGAGCTCCCATAATTTCTGAAGGCAAGTTGTTCCACTGGTTAACTTGAAGTTAATGTTTCTAAATTCAGTTGGATTTATTTCAAAGTTTTCAGTTATTAAATACAAGGCTTTTATAACATTGTTGGTCCATGAACTGACAGAAAATTCCCAGTAAAGAAATCATTTTTATTCGAAGGTCATCAAGAATTTTTATCAAGCTGTATGTTTCATTCAAGAATAGAGGGAGGCCGAGGGTACCATTTTTGTTTTCCAAATCTATAGCTTGCAATAAATCTATAGCTTGTAATATCTATAGATTGTAATAAACCTACGACTTATACACTGATACAGTAATATGGCAATATAATTTGATTAATAAATAAAATTTGTTTTGCAAGGTAAATCTGGGTATATTGACAGTTGCCCGCTTCCATTTTAGTAATTATTCAAATTCATTCCATGTCCTGTACAATACACAATGGATCCTTGTATATTATTAAATATAGGATAATGGTATGTGGGAATGACATTGGGAGACAGGACAAAGAGCTTCAATAAAGGAGAATATTTGTAGTTCAGGGATGAAATGAGGAGTCCTTCGTGGTCTCTGAGCTTGGTTGTTTTCTTGCAGATATTCAATTACCTTAAGTTAGTAACATCATCGTGCAGTAAGAGCTGCACTTAAACAGTGATCTGATAAACAAAATCTGAGTATGAAGGAGGGATGGATGGAAAAAGCATCTCAGAAGGGACCCTCCCTTGTTTTCAGAAAATTAAACGCAAGGGAGGGGAAAAGTACTTTCAGGCTTGCAAGATCCTGTACAGTAACTTTACAGTAAAGCTAGTGTTACTGCTTAGGGTTGGTGCTTCTTGTCTGGACTACGTCAAAGGTCTGACACCAATTTTGCAAGTTTTGAATCTGATAGTCATTATATTCCTGGAGTTTAATTGGACTATGTGCACTAAAACACAATGTATCAGTGTTACTTTTTCCTTTAGGTTTTTTTATGTATGGCAAGTCAGACTTAAGTTTAAATTCACTCCTCAGAAACATAATAGTGATGTATAAAAATAAGTCAGAACATAGCTATATTCAATGTAATAGTGGGAAAATGGTACAAAAATTCTTAGGCATACAGTAAGTTCTATTTCAACAAAAGCAGAGCTTTATTTTTAAAATATAACTAACCTGCAATCCGCAGTTCATTTTGTGGAAATGCAGTGCTACCTCCATTTTCTCCCGAGCAGAGTTTCTACCATAGTTTATTTCAATATTTCCTGCCATCAAATTATATGGAGAAATAATCCTTTATATTTCAGCCATAATCTTATTTTCAACAAAAATTCTATAGTACATGAACAATATAACATAGTCTCCTCAGCTGATCTATGTCTCCTCATTGTATGCTGCCCAGATGTTGACATATTGTCATATAAACAAGATTCCCTTCTTCCTTAAAAAAAATTGTTAGTTTGATAAATTTTGCTCCATGAATCCCCCCCCCACGCCCAATCTGTCTTTAAAGATGACTAGATTAAATGATTATGAAGTTGCCATATGGCAGGGATTCTCTTAAAATTCCATTAAGAAATGAAGAATAACACTGTATCTGCAGTACCAGAGCAACAAAACATATTCACTTCCCCCCCCCCCAAGAATTCATTGTGTGTTCTGCTGCAGCTCAACTAATAATGTGCCACAAAATGAAACCAGGAAAGAAATACCTTCAGTTCTGTGTATTTTTAGAACATTGGATTTTTCCTATTTCCTGCTAATAGTATGCTATGATTCAAAATACAACTTAAAGAGAAATCCTACACTCAATGCTCTGGGAGTAAGCGTTTAATTCTGAGTTAACAGATCTTAAGCTCCTTGTTTTTTAGACGAAACATTTTGAATATACACCCTCCCAAAGATGAATTAAATTGAGTCAAAGGCGATATGCCTGTCATGTATTTGGCAAGGAAGGAAAAGAATTAAAACAGTGGTTGAAAAGCAAGTGATGCTTTTCACATATTTATCTTTGTGCTTCATTAACAGCATGGTAGGGAAAAGCCTACATGAAAATTATTCTTCATTGATATATTATGCTTGAAATCTCCTTACTTCAATCTGAACGAGAGTTTAAAACATCTGCTTCATAAAAGCTAAATGCATAAATGGTCTATAACTCTAAGCTTTTTAAATAGATGAGCTTGCAGACATTTGAGAAGAAAGCAATAATGAGAAAACTATCCAGATTGACAATTAAGGAAGGTTAAGGTTAAGTAAATTAACAGCTGCTCTATGCTATCTACATGCAAGTAAATCCAACCACCCTAAGGCATGCATATGGTTGGATATTCTCCTGTATGAAGCACTAATATGGGAGAACAGGAGTCTTGCCAACTTATTCAGGTCTCCATGATGCACATATTGTATTATAATTTGCTGATTTCTGCAATCAAGATATGATACTTGTTGTCAAATGCTAACAAACAGATGAGATTTTCCCACTAAATCTTCTCCAAAGTACAACTCTGAATAGATTAATACTACCCTGAGGAGTGACTGTAAAGTTGGCTCATAATTTAAGATTCCAATAGAAGAGTAATTTAATTCCTTCCTTCCTTCCTTCCTTCCTTCCTTCCTTCCTTCCTTCCTTCCTTCCTTCCTTCCTTCCTTCCTTCCTTCCTTCCTCTGTTGTGGTGTTTGTACCATTTTTTTTTAAATGAGCACCTACCCCTTAGTACAAAATCATGTCTGAAATCATGACATAACAGAGCCAGTCTGAGGATTCATCTTACCAAGTTTCCTAACTCTGAGCACCTGCTATTTAGTTGCATAACAAGAACAGCATAGAATTCCTTTGCTGCAGTGTTCATTCCTCAGCAGAAGATTCCCTTCCTAAGCTAGCCAAAGAAATATAAAATATTATACTGAGATTAATGCTGAGATTACATAATTGGCAATATCAATTATTATCCAGCTTCTATATACAGAATAGAATGTATTCTTAATCTGGCATTCTGCTACGGTGAAAATAGTACAGGGATACTGTTTGGTCCTCATAAAATTAGTCTTTTAATTTAGGTTGTACAACTGTATGAAAGCATATTTTCCTATTCCAAGAAAACCTAATAGAAATGTTTTCATTTTAAGTTTATGAAAAAAATTAAAATAATGTGCTTTGAATCGCACATACTGTATGCATGAAATGTGTCCTTCTTAGAACTCCCTTTGAAGACAAAACTGTAAATAATACAGAATGTAACTCCCTCTATATGGCAGATGAGACTGCTTCAGCCACATATTATCTACATTCCAGGCATTGCAATGGCCTATGTACAATTTAAAAAGTGTTTTTGATGTTTTTGATGTTTAAAACCCCACATGATTTGGCCCTTACGTTTTGTATCTTTCCAGGCAAAACTATCCTATCCAGTTGGGGATGTTGATGGGAGTTTGGGGGCACTGTTTCTCCACAATGGCCCCCGCTGAGGGAATGAAGCTGAAGTTGTTGTTTGCAGTTGGGAAAAGCTGCTGCAGTGAGGCAGAGGTGTTTTCCACCCCCACTTTCCTAAGGCTCAGCTCTTGTCCCATTTCCCAAAGGAGTGTAAAAGTTTATACCCCGAAACATGAGCAGAGATGGGCTCATTCATTCATTTATTTCATTCATTCATTCATCTTCTCTGCCTCTTCCCCTGTACTCACAAGCACCCATGCTAGTGTTCAGGTTTCTGGCTAATGGAGCCACACCCTGGCAGTTTTCAGGAATGTGTCAAGATCCATAAGCAGCCTCACAGCCTACAAACGTTTGGGTGTGTAGGCAGTGGTGGGATTCAAATATGCGAACAACCAGTTCTCTGTATGGATGCTGCTTCCGGAAGTCCATTCTGGGCCTGGGCAACAAAAAATTAGCTACCGGTTCTGCTGAAGTGGTGCGAACTGGCTGAATCCCACCACTGTGTGTAGGAGAGAAAAGAAGAAGACAATAAGCAGATGAGAAAACAGAAAGTGATGTCTGGGATACAATTATTACAAGCAAGCAAGAGCTATCAATCAATTGCTAAGATCACATGCTACAAGCAGCTCATTGTACTGGAATTCTTGGCTTGGAGCTTGTAGCAACAGGAAGAGAAATAACCACACTGAGGCAGCACCTAATCCCAACAATTGCAAGGAGGGAGGCAAAGGCCACTTTAAAACTTCAAGACTTTTACTTCTTATAACGACTAACCATCAAGGACATATTTATGTGGCTACATCAATTTGCTTGGGTGGATGGAATTAAACCAGGGCAAGAGGACAGGTATGTGCTACAATAAGGTATTTTGTATAATTATCTTCAATGCCAATGATGGCAAATCTTTTGGGTTTTGTGTATCAAAAATTCTTTAGTCTCATTGCCACTCAAAAAGGCCACCTGCCATTTCCCAAGTTTATGAGCCTTGGGGAATGATGTAATTGTCCCATATGGCCCTGTGCTCCCCAGCATTTGCTGTGTGCTACTTACCTTCAGACAGTGTTCCCTTTCTGTTGATAGGTCCCTGTGGCCTATTCAAGGCAGCTCTGGGATGTGAGGACTTCATTCTTGAAGCAGATTCTGAGAATGCTCTTTTGTGACCTCTGCAGTCTCCAAAAACTGTGTAAAAGCAGACCCTTTATTGTATGATTTTTAGAGTCTCTGGAAACTACACAAGATAATGGCCTCCTTATGCGACTTCTGAAGGCCATGCAAGAGTACATTTCATTTTTGTGCAGCCTTCATAGCTTCTAACAATCACATGAGAACAAGTAGTATTTTCAAAAATCATTGTTGTTGGAGGTTGGTGAATATTGGAATGTCACCCAAAATATCATGACATATCATCTTTGACACACATGTCATATGTGCATAGGACCCATGGTGGTGCAGTGGTTAGAATGCAATATTGCAGGCTAACTGCCCACAGCCAGGAGTTCAATGATGACCAGCTCAAGGCTGACTCAGCCTTCCATCTTTCCGAGGTTGGTAAAATGAAGACCCAGATTACTGAGGCAATATGCTGACATTGTGAACCACTCAGAGAGTGCTGCAAAACACTATGGGGTGGTATAGAAGTCTAAGTGCTATTGTTATTCGTTTGCCATCACTGGTCTACACTGTGGTGTGCCAGTCCTTGGAAAACAAAGCTCCATCACACCTCTGGATGTTAGCCTGGTGCCAACCATTATATCTTTTGGCAATCAAAATATTGGGTGCTCTTTAGAAATTAATGCTACAAATCTTGTTGGGCATCTATAGTTAATGGGATATGATATTGACATTGTTTTTATTTTAATTACATATTCTGTTATTTCTGATTTTGTTGTTTTGTGATTTATATCCAACAGAATATAAATGGGATGTGATATTGACATTGTTTTTATTTTAATTACATATTCTGTTATTTCTGATTTTGTTGTTTTGTGATTTATATTCAATGGTATGACTGAATAAGGATCTCACAGAGAAAAATTCAGATAAAAGGCACCACATGAGCTGCTTCTTATTAACGTCTCTTTGAAGCATTTTCTCTCCTGCCAAAATAACTCTGCCTGTTCTCATACAAAATGTTGCCTAAATCACATTACCTCAATTCTCCCACTTTAAAATAATGCAGAAAATTACAAATCTGAACTGAAACCTTATTTAGCCATGTTTCTGTTTTTTTAATTCAGTTGTAAGGGCTAAAACATGACTATGGATTGTTTTTTTCACTGTGTTTTAAAATAAAAAATAGTATAAAGTATGCAATATATTTTATTTTAAAACAAAACAAAGCAGAATATAAAAACCTGTCTCCTTTATTTTTATAAGGCGTTCAACCAGGCATATAATATGTTTCTAAAATTATAAGAGAGCCATATAAATAGAGGGGTGGAGATAGCTTGCCAAGAACACCATTTTTTAAAAAAGATAATCTTTGTTTATCTTGTATAGTTAACTAATATCTAGTATATCCAAGGTGTTGGAAAAATGTAGCCATTTAGAAGTGAATGGCTGAACACACCCACAACAGAGGGTATAATTTTTAGCCATACTGAAGGCACGAAAAAACAACCCAATAGTTATTATGGCATATTATTTTCTCTGTAATCTCTCCAAGATTTCTAGTAAGATAATTTAATAGCTAAAACATACTTTGACTAGCAATTTTACATCATGAAAGAAAATTATACTACATTACTCATGTAAGCTTTCATAATTCAAACATAAAAATAGTTTGATTCTGAAGCAATTTAATGATAATAGTTCAAAAGGAATGTTTGTGACTGGTAAAGTGCATAGGTCCACTTTCCAGCTGCACAAAACAGAATTGGACTTTACTATTACCTATATCTATATTACTATTATTATTACATATACAACAACATGAAA